TCATAACATACGAGTGAGGTTGCAGTAAATATGTTAAACGCCTGAATGCACAGCAAATACATGACATTTTGACAGTGTTCAGTATGATTCAGTAGCATAATGTATGCAAGTTGGAGCGTGTCATGGCCTTGTCATAACATTGGTCAGTTGTGCGGCAGATTTGGCCCATTAATTTATGCAAGTTATATAAAAAAAGTTAGATGCTGATAACTTAATTTCCTTACAATTTCGAATTTATTGAATTCAAATTTAATAAAGTATATAACAATCAATAACAATAATCTATAATTACTTTCAATTTTAAATTCAAATTAATTTATGGTAATTGTTTACTATTTATGATTTAGTATTCTGTTCACATATTTCACTAGTTTTATCAGCTTCTTAAATTAGAAGTATGTAATATGTTTTCGTCAGAAAAGTCGATTTGCTACTAGTATGTTTTCTCGATGTTCCAAGTCATTCTAAATCGTATGACACCGAAATTGAAAAAAGTAAGTGTGCATGTGAGCAAATCTTTCACCGACATTCCATCCAAAAAGGCTGCACTGATTTCAAAAATGTTGATCAATCTTATTAAGAACTCGCGTTGATTAGTTTTTCGCAAAGATCGGCCTATCCTTTTCTTTATAATTATCAGATAAATGCAAAATTTTCCAAAACCGTTCGAAAGATATTGGTTGAGAATCAGTTTTTAGCAAAAATTGGCCAGGCCGTTTTTTAACATTGAGTTTTTTAACATCAAATTTAGCATTGAGTTTATGGTCCAAACAAAAATTCTAAAATATTATAGTCCTATGAAAAGTGGTTGAATAATATAAGTTCAAGAAAGTTTGAAATAATGGACCGCGTTTTTAGGACATAAAATTGTGTTTTTGTGCACTATAATCAATACAATTTTACTTATTATATGTTTTGTTTGAATGATATCAATTGAAAATTGCATTTATTTTTGCACTGCATTTTTACTGAAAACAAAAACTTTATTTTCGAAATAAACTTTTCAAATTATATCTAAATTGCTAAAAAGCCAATTTTCGGATAAAATTGAAATGTTACGGTGATGCTATGTTGTATTTGCTATGCGATCAGGCGTTTTACACATAAAACCTAACTTCACGTATGTGTTATCAAGAAGTTGCACTAATTATAATATTGTTATTTGGCAATAGTGAGTTTTGGAGATTAGGTTTTTAAATCCCATTTTTTATAAGTTGATTATTTACACGTATCAGGAAGTTCATGCAACTTTTATTAAGGCAATATGCCACTTACACCTGGTTTAATTATTACATTTAATTTCAGAACGAAAACGATTTTATTAAAAAAATGCTTTCTAATTTAACATAATAATTTCATAGTAATAAAAATAGTAAACTAGTTATGCTAAACAGATATGGTAATAAATGTTATTAACATAAATTAGGAAAATTCTGGAATTTTAATTTAGTATAAAAATTTCTACTTAATTTTTTAAAATAAGAGAATTCCAAGTAAAAGAAAAAGGTGAAAATGTAGTTTTATGATTTTATATTTGGATTAAGTAAAAAAAAACAATAAAATTTAAACTGTCTTAATGAGCAATCAAAAATATTATAGGCTTTCGATAACTGCCTTAATTATAAAAATACATCAAAGTTTGTGATAATTTCAAACAAAATTATGACAATTTCGAAAGTTGCTAAATCTGATTTGATTATTTTTTAATTCTTACAGAGTTGTCTAGAAATATTAACACTTGTTTTTCATCAGTTTTATAATATATTATTAATAATATTATAAAACTGAATAAATAAAATATCAATATTATTAATAATATTGATAATAAAAACTTTGTGTTGAGTTAAAATATAAATACACCTGTATTAGCGAACTCCTAATATTAGGTTAAAAATTATTTATTATATGAAAAATATTGTTCCATATATGCATAATTTATATTACTTAACTTCTAGTAGCTCAATAAAAGTTATTACTGTTTATTTACTGTATTTCTGGTCACGCACCAAATACAAGTTTCATTAAGAAAAACATAATGAACGGATTCAAGTAATTAAGAAAATACGTTATTTCATGGCTACTTCACAAAATCACTTGAAATACTTGAAAACTTAATTATACTCATTTTACAATTTTAACGAATGTTAATTACTTCCAACGTACGCTGCGCTAATAAATTAATCCTGAAGAACAACTATGTATAGAAAAACATACAGAGTAATATTGCAAACATGTATATCATTATTAACTGACCGATGAAAAAGTGTACGTCTTCACAAAAAAATCCGATTTACTAATTTTATGTTCACTCGACGTTGCAAGACATTTTGAATCGTTTGATACCAAAATTGAAAAATGGATAGGTGTTGGTATGTGAGCCAAAATTTGACCTTTCCTCAAAGTTTTCACAAAAACGGTTGCACCAGTTTGAAAAAATTAAGCCTTTTGAAAAACTCGGTGAGAATTTAAAAAAATAATTAATTAGTAATTAAATAATTAATTAATAAGTAATTCAAAAAAATTAAGCCTTTTGAAAAACTCGATAAAAACTGGCATTGATTACTTTTGTGCAATTACCGATTCGGTCGTTTTTTTTATAACTATCAGGTAGGTAAAATTTTATGTTGCAAAAAATCTTGAACCGATTTTAAAAATTTTAAACCGTTAGAAATTTGATAAACGTGCTAATTAGTTTTTGTTATAATCCGTTTTCTTGTAATTAATTAAGTTGATAAATTATTTTTTTGACGATTTTGATAGTTCTTTGTTTGTAGGGATTCATGAATTCATAAAACACCTTAAAATATTATACACCGATGAAAAGTGGTTTAATTATAAAAATTCATTAAATAATGGGCCATGTCAAAATTTCAAAATTCTATAATGACAATTTGAAAAGCTGAAAAATCTCAATTCTTATTGATGTAGTACAGTTTCGCAACTTTCCTTAAGGCAAAATGCCACTTATACCTAGTTATTTGAACCATAACAAGTATAGATCTTTTCATTGTTTTTCACATCGTTCTTTACCCTCGTGGTTTCAAATCTGTGGGGCGCGTGGTTGTTACAGGTGGGCCCTACAGCTGTTTCCAAAATACTAATATTGAAAATAGACCAAAATGATATGTAAAGAAATAAATAAATATTTTTTTCAAGCATTTTTTTGCATAATATTTTATATTAAAATGTAATCTGATGAATAAATTATAATTTCAGTTGAGTATTTATGAAATTTAGTTGATGCATTTGTTAAAAAAAACGGGTAGGAAGGCAGTAGGAAAATGTTGGTAACCACTGCTTTAGACCGAAAATGATTAGAATATAAATTAAGTCAAAAATTAATCAAAAGCGGTAAATTTATTCTGCTACAAATAATTTATATGTGTTACCATATGAAAGACATGTGGGCCACATGATGTGGCGTATTATGCAAGAATTAATATTGAGAATGATTGTCTTAACGGGGTTCTACTGCAATATAATAGCATGATCTGGAGTAAAAAATCGTATAAGCAAATGGGTAATTTTATTGGACCTAAAAAGCGTATTATGCGAGATAGAAACAATATTATTCGAAGTGCAGAAACCGATGTAAAGCGGCGTTAAATGCGAGAAATCGTATTAAAGGGGGGTCTACTTTAATATAAAAACATGATTCTGAGCAAGAAATCGAATAAACAAATTGTAATACTAATGAGCTAGATAGCGTATTATGTGAGATGAGGACAATATGATACAAAGTGTAGAGACTGGGGTGAAGTGTCGTTTCATGTAAGAAATCGTATTAACCATGATCGTCTTAACGAGGTTGTAATGTAATATAATAACATGATTCAGGATAAAAAATTGAATAAAGAAATATTTTTTGATAAATTGAATAAGGGACTATTATTTGGTGACCGTCTCTGCCGTAAAATAGACCAATGTTATCGCAAGGCAATATTATGTAGCAATTTTCATATAAAGTGGTACTAAAAACTATCAAAATCCTATGTGATTGCTGTGCAGTCAGGCGTTTTAGATGGAAAATCTAACCTAGAAAACGCACAAATGTAAAAAAAAACGATGTTAACGTAACTGCATCTTTGTGATATGCTTTGATAACATATGAGTGAAGTTGCATTTTTTGTGATCGCACAGTAAATACATGGTATTAAGACAGTATTTAGTAGCATTTTGTATGAAAACTGGAACGTAACATAGCCTTGCCATAATATCGGTCTATTTTACGGCAAATAAATCGGCCCATAAATTCAAATATGAAATATATAATAGTTTCTTAAAACATTTAACCTTAAAACTTTAGCTCATTTTAGTTTTTAAGCTACAATAAAAGAACTATTAACTAAACATGAAATATATCATCTTGATATACATAACTAATATAATAAAATTATTTGATAGAAAAAAATTAATCAGCAGAGTCTACAATCAACTTATAGAAACAAAATATTATGAATTTATTTAAGTAATAATAACCTCTAAAATTTATCTGGTTTATAAAAATTGATATATAAAACTTAATACATGCAAAATTTCATCTGAATTTGGATCAGTAGATTTTTTTTATAAATAATATAATGGCATGATCCTGATCGAATAAAATTAATTAGAAAATTGTAATTCTACATTAATTTTAAGGATATTATACTTATGTAATATAACATTATAGATACTTAAGTAATATAACCTTAAAAATTTTAGCCGGTTTACTTTTTGAGCCACAATAAAAAATTAAAAATATGAAACATATCTTGATTTGTGTCAGTAGATTCTGATATAAATAAAATAATCAAATGATCTGATAGAATAAAATTAATCATCACAGTCTACATTAAACTTAAAGAAGCAAAATATTATGAAGTTACTTAAGTAAGAGCTGTAGCCTTTAAATTTTTAACGGTTTTATTTTGCATCACAATATAAAACCAAAATAACAAGTATAAGTAAAATTTGTTGAATACTAAACTAAAAAATATAGAAATTAATTAATCACTAACCTGTAAATAAATCAATTATCAACTGCTTTTGCAGAACTCAAACCACAAAAATATTTAGAACAATTTTGAAAGCGTAACACAACTAAACCGATTGCACAACAATCATTATCAAATACAAAACACAATATATTAAGACTAAACTCGTTGACAAACTATATTTTGCACAATATCACCACAAAATTCACTTTTATCAATAAAAATCAAACCACATCTACCATTACCGGCGCCATCAAAAGATTTACCAAAACTGACTACGGTCTTCGAGTCTTCGGCATCGCACAGGAATCGTAAACTAAACGCATCTCCTTCAGCCAGTGGCTTCATAATCGACATATATGGTGGGGAGGGGATACTAGGACGACTAAGAGAAATAGATTTATGAAACACCTGCATTTGATGTGTTATATAATATGAACTAGTGGTGCGTGGCATCGTGCTTTAAGGCAAATTGCTGGAATTTCCCGTAACAAAAATGAATTTTTAGATAAGATATAATATTTTTCGAATCGATCACCAATGGGTGACCTTTCGACCTTTTTTCCTTCATTTAATAAACCATCAAAATTACTGAATGTTGTATAAGAACGACAGATTGTGATTCGCAAATGTAAATAAAAAATATATATTTTTTAAAAGTAGATTTTTGAGAATCTTGAAATTTTTGAAAAATTTGTCTTTATTGAAAAACCTGACTTTTTTTAATTTTCATTTTTTTTGGAAATTTGGAATCTTTTTCAGAACAATCGCGCTGAGTAACTGTTTTAGAGAAAAAATTGTTTTTCTTATTAAAATGTTTATAACATATCTGAGAATTTGATGTGCATATGTCTTACGATTATTTTTTACCGCCAAATGGTATTTTTATTAAATTAATTTTTTTTTGAATTTCCGAAATAAAATTACGAAATTAAGTTTTTGAAAAAATGAACATTAGTTTTTTTTTATTTTCAATTTTTTGAAAAATTGAACTCATAGAAAGTAAGCAAAATTTGTTCTTATTATTAAAATGTCTTTAAATATTTTTTGCCGCCAACTGGCATTTTGTTATTAATTTTATTTTTATCTCTAAAACCACTAAACCTGCTTTTCCAAAAATTTAACCAGTTCTTCATTTCGTCAATGAAAATAAAATGTTTTTTGAACCACTCAAATTGAACGCTCTATTTAACTGAATTACCAAATTAAAAAGTAGACTTTTTTGAAAAATTTGTTTTTATTTTATCTTTTTTCTTGAATTTGTTTTTTACCAATTGCGTTGCGTAGTTATTTTAGATGTCGAAGCGCGTAAGCGCCACGTCGCAGTCTTACGAATAAACTTAAACGGAACCCAAAGAAGTGTATACAAAGTTCGTACTTATGTTTAAATTCTCCATAAAATATCTGATAATTTGATGTGCATATGTCTAATAATCATTTTCGAGCGCCAAATCGCATTTTTTAATTTTTTTTATTGAGGGTCCATACTGGCTTCCCAAAAATTTATTCAGTTTTTTAAAAAAAATATTTTTAATCTGAAAAATTAAATTAATTTATTTGAAATATTTTATTCTAATTCATGTTTTGAAAATATGTTTTATTATTTAAATGTGCACGTCAACGCTAATCAGTAGGTACAAAAAAACGAAATATATCTTGCGTTGATTTTAAGCATTCGGCTCATTATACTAAAATTAGAAAAAAAAAATTATAATTGAACCATTTATCGTATACCTATAATATTTTACTAGGTTAATTTAGATCTACTACATTTAGTTTGTTTATCTATGGATTAGGCCAGGGCTTCTTAAACTATGGGACGCAATCCCAAATGGGATCGCATGGAAAAATTCTGGAGTCGCGAGAAATTTTAATGTCATCTATTTATATCATTTTATAACATAACGTCTTGATTTTTTTATGTTCTCAATGAATTCTTACACTATATATTTTCATATGTGTATGTATATGTATATTGTTTCCAAATAAGTGAATCATTTAAAAATATTATTTTTTATATGTGTGGGGTCGCCAAGAAACCCGTTTCCATAAATGAGTCGCCAAAAATTCGCAATCGTAAATGGGGTCGCAAAGAACCCTTTAATTTAAGAAGTTTAAGAAGCCCTAGATTAGATCTGGAAATTTATCGTCGTACAAAGTTTTATTTAAAAAAAAATCAACAATAAATTACGAAAAAATGTACCGGCCGATCATTTTTAATTAAAAATTAATCAGCACAACCCATTTCATTAATCATACATTCCAACTTATATTCTACTCTTTTGAAATGTTTTAAAATTTTCAAAATTGGCTGACAATTTTTTGCGAAATCGTTGACAAAAAAAATAAATAGTAATAAAAATGAGTCCTTATCGAGTTTCACCGAATGGTTTAAAATTTTTGAAATCGGTTCAGCAGTTTTTGAGAATACGTCGAAAGTCAAAAATAGGCTCAGATACACACACAAATACTTTTTCCAAATTTGGGTTCAAACTGTTCAGAATTACTTGAACGTCGAGAAAACTTATTATTAAATATAATAATATAAATCATTGAACAATTCTAAAATTTTCAAAATCGGTTGAGATTTTTTTGCGAAAATGTTGCACTTTTCTGCTAATTACAAAGCAACGGCTTAACCGATCTTTGCACGATACTAATCAACGCAAGTCCTTATCGCGTTCCATCAAATGACAAATAAATGTCTAAAATAGGTTGAGCCGTTTTTTTAAGGAATATGTCAGACAAAGTTTAAAAATAGGCTCATATAAACATACTTCTTCCAAATTTGTCTCAAACGATTCAGAATGACTTGAAATAATGACTTTTAATATATCAATAATATAGTATTGACATATTGAAAGTCATTAACCAAAAACATACAAAAAATAGTATTTTTGATTTGGGTATTTCGGATGTTCGGCGATTTTTGACTATAAAACAAAGGAGTATTGAAATAAAACTTTCTGGTCGTTATTTCTTGAATTTTTTATTATTTGAAACGTCAAAAAATTTTATTATTTTATTTTATTATTAAATCAGATTATTTGTCTTAAAGAAAAATCTCCTTCAGAAAGTTAATAATGCCGAAAAATATGATGCTCTAATAGTGCGTGCTCTAATGTATATATTTTTACCTTCAGTTAAATAAGTTATACATATAAATTTTATTTCCTTTACACGATATTTATAGGAATATAATATTTATTCTGCGATCAAAATGCGCGTACAATAATACAATATATTATTATATTAGCACGAGATCATTGACCAAGCAGGAAAAAATCGGACGTAATGATTTATGTCTGTTCATTGCATAATTTCTATCCGGAGGCGGAAAAGTCGAGGGTCGTTCAATAGATTGCAGAGTGCGAGTGCTGCAAGAAACGAAGCTATCTATATTTTATTACTATTTTATAGATTTTAATGCCGGCTCACTGATAAAATTAAATACCTATTACTTATCGTGATTTTACGATGCATCATGCATTCCACACGCGCCCATCTGTTGAATAAAATTTTTAATTGAAATCATACGATCGTAATAGAGAATTCGCTATTAGCGCATAATTTAACAGCAATACACAGTGTGGCTTGTGTTTGTGGAAATAATCCTTGTTTTCATAATCAGAAATTTTTAAATTTATTCAGATGTGCAGGGGGATATCCAAGATTTTTGAGTACCGAATATTCATAAAACAAATTAGCATTTTACGATGATTTTAAGGTATAACCCCTCTGTCAATTTTTCATTAATTCAGATACTCACCAATTACACAAAAATCTATATTTTTAAGGGGGCATGTATTAATCACGTGATCGATTTTTCGAGGATTTTTAGACCCCTCCTCCCCCTTGGTAATATTCAAAATTACCCTTCCTCCTCCCACAAAACAACACGTGTAATCTTAGTTGCGAAAAAAATGTAAGATTTTTGATTTTTTTTTTTTGAAAATGTTTTGAACTTAAAAAAAAAATCAGGTAAAAATACATGATATCTTACCATACCTTTCCCTCCCGCGCGTGATAATTCGTGATTTTTTGTCGACACCCCCCCTACTGCCCCTCCTCCTAAACACCTCACGTGATAATGCACGCCACCTAAAGAGAGGAGTGGGGTGGCCAAGTAAGATATCACAATTTAAAAAATATCCAAAAATTTTCAAAAACATTTTTTAAAAAATTACGATTTTTTCTATGTACTAAAAAATACACCTGATGTTTGGTAAGGGAGGGGGGGTTAATTTAAAATATCATTAAGCTTAACCAAGGAGGAGGGAGGGGACCAAAAATCCTTAAAAAGCGATGACGTGATTAATGGACGCCCCTTAAAAACCTCCATGTATTTTTCTAGCTATAAGCGTGTAAAATAAGTTTTTTTCTGTTGGACCCAAATTTTCTACAAAAGGGCCATAAATTCTATATATCTTACAAAAATGGTTGTGGTGCCATCATTTCTTAATAATTTTCTATTTTGCTACTAAATAATAGGCTAAATAACTTATAGGCCTCCCTTTCCTTCCGCAAAAAAGACCAAAAACACGTTTTCCTAGATAATTACAGTGATGTTACTCCTTAAATAGTAAGAGCACTGATAGTATAATTATTATATTATTGGTGCTCCTCATGAAGCAGATCAACAATATGAGAACACCACATATTATTGGATCCCTTCCTCTTCTTTGTTTATAACAATAATAATAATATATTACTACTACTCACTTTTCTTCACACTTTTGTACATTTTCCTTATCAAACTTCTGCTTCCATGCTTTCCAGTCCTGTACTTCGGCTTTCAATTTCCTGCAAGTCGTCAATCATATGCATTCTGCTACCTTCTAGTCTTTTCAGTCCTTCTATTTTACCTTCGCCAATGTCGAGCAGCAAGCCCTCTTTGAAATTGTCCAACCAAAGTGTAAAGTAACATACAAAATTTATTGATATATAATGATAATAAACTATAGTTTGCCCAAAGACAAATCCATGGTATGAGATCATCACATATCATTGATTTCCATTCCCTCACCTATTTAATATTATTATCATTAGTATCATTACTATTTACGTTTCTTTACACTTTTACAGATTTTACTTACCAAACTTCTGCTTCCGTCCTGACCTTCGGCTTTCAGTTCCCTGTATTTTCTCTCTTGTGTAAGACTTCATTAATCTGCATTCTTCCTCTTTCTAATCCTTTCAATTCTTCTATTTTACCTTCGACGACGTCGTGCAGCAGGCACTCTTCTTGCAATATTGGTCTGACTTAGTTTTCTTTTCATTTCATGTTCTGAGAACAGTCTTTCTTCTTTCGCTCTTCTCAGCACTTGTTCATTTGTTACTTTAATCTGTCCATTTTATCTTCTCTATTAGTTTTCAGCACCACATTTCAAAAAATTCAAATAGTTTTTGCCCCCCTGACAAAATTTAGGTTTAGAGCCCATGATCTAATCCAGTGAAAACTTTATTAGTTACTTCTTCAAGTCGAGACTCAGTTTGAGCGTCCTCTGATCTCTCTCTGCAGTATCCACCTCTCGTCAGAATATTTTCTCAGTAATGATAAAAATCAATAACATACCAATCATATAAGAACACTTAATTAAAATATATTCTTTTTAGTAAATCTTGAGAGCTAATAGCATTAAAAATATATTTACAAGACTGGCAGTATCTCAAACAATAAATATAATTCAATACATAAGATTTTTTTTTTTTTTGATATTATATACAACTTTATTTTAATTTATACATAACAATTTCAATTGACTATTACAAAAAAATGATTATCATATCTAGATTTATATATTTATATGATCATACATTCAATTTATTTGCTTGGACGTTAATCTAAATATATCTTTTTTATGCATCGAGTTTATTTAAATATATTACAGGTACGTATTTGTACGTCTTAAAGATGTTAAAAAAATAAATCGTTTAACAGATTTGAAGAACTATGTTGCACATATCTATGACAAGAATCATTTTAAAATCTCATAAAACCAAAAACATTATGTACTAATCAATTCTTTTTTATATAAAATATATAGATGACTTATTATAGTTCAACTGTATAACACTTCATCAAACAAAATATAAACAAGTATCAAAATCATTTTTGACTTCTGTATTGCCAAAATACAGAAAATTCATCATTCCGCTTTTAGTGGAATAGACTTTGTATGTGTTGAATGTTAAAATATTATATTCAAACTTACAATATGCTGAATAAACCTTGTTTATAACGAAGAAGGAAAAATTTCACAAAAATCAAACAAAACAAACTATAACTATTTCAACATTCACACATTCACCTTTACTACTATGTACATATCATAATAGATTAAGAATTTATATGCATATTTCATTTGAAATACATACAGAAACAATATACAAATATACACGGTTTTTCATCACATAGTTTTCTTTTTACAATTTTGATTAATAAATGTTTTGAATTCCATTACAACTGTAATATTTATTTTAATAACTACTTACTGATTGAAGCATTGTTCTTTGTAAGAAAAAATGGTGTTCACTACATTATTATGAAAAATATTAAAGTTATCATTTTAAAATATTGAATCATATTTTAAAATAAACCTAGTATAATGTTATGTACATTTCTCGGAAGTTATGCAAGACAACGTAATGCTGCTATATTGAGAGACGTGCTAATATGAACAAATGCATAACAAGTAAAATGTAAAATATTGAATTTGTCATCAGGTGCAATTCTAAATTTAAAGACAGAAACAGCATTAAATCACATACAACTCCAATTTCATGACATTTTCGTTAGCAGTGACTATAAATAATCTTAGATTCATATAGCAGCATCATAATTCATATTTAATAATTGTTTTATATGACTTATAATAAATTATTATTATTATCATAAGATGCAAAAAAAAGTAGAGAAATTCCACAACAACTTATTCATTTTGTAAATACATACATAAGATATAAAGTTTATTTTTACAAAATACTTCACAAATAATAAAATATGCATTCCAAAATGTTTCTGGAATAGTAAAAGGTCAGGATGCACTTAAAAAAATTCTGCGGTTTACACAAAAGAAACATATTAGTTTATGCTCATATTTGTTTCAAGAAAAATCCTGGTTTAAAATAATCAAAAATATAGATAAATTTTGAATTTTATGACAGAAAATCCAAATCTTCAGACTACTCACATGTTTTAAGAAAAAAATCCCCATCTTAAAATAAATAAAAATATAGATCAATTTTGAATTTTATGAACGTAAACATATATATTACACAAAAAAAAAAACTAGTATAAAATTAATTTGATGTTAAAATTTCAATATACTGTGGACATAAATCTTTAAACTTTACAGCAGCTATAGCTCATTTTTAAACTTATTTGAATTAATTTAATTAAAAATCTTTATTACAATTTTGTTTTATAATACATAACTTTTTTTCATATATACAATATTGTGAAGAAATTAGAAAATAAAAATATATAACACCATATTTCAAACAATTAATAAATATGAATATAAAATTTAAACTTCGATCACTCAACATATCATTAACTGCATTAATAATCTCTGTTAAAATTAAATTTCATAGACACATAACCAGCAAGAACTTACCATCATCTGTGTTTATCACAAAGAAAGAGATAAGTTTTATATAATATAGTAATATTGTATCACCATTTTTGTTTTAAATACCCAACATTATTTTGTTATATGAGGCAAGTTCAAAAAATGTCTGGGCAGTTTGACCAGTCCTGCTTGGCTTTGGCCTCCCAGTATTTACCGCTATATACGTGAACAACATTTTCTGTACCGGGTTCTTGCTCCCTTGTAAACCATAAAGGTTCATAAGGTGGATAAGGCCGACCTTCTTTCGCAGCTAATTCTGCTTCAGCTTCTCGCTCCCTCCTTCGCGCTCTTTGCTTTTCTTCAAGTCTTAAAAAAAATACAATATATATAAGAAAACTAAATTTTTATTCTCAAATATTATCCATACCTTTGGATACTAAAAGTGAAATGTGAGCTTGATTTTTATTTATTATCAATGATTTGTTAAAATTACCTGACTTTTTCTTTATTAGCTTCAGTCCAAAGTCCCTCTTCCATAAGCCTCTGATCAGGACGTAACCTTGTGTCAGTTGGAGCAACACCTTCTTCTGGTTCATTTAGTTGAGCGGCAAGAACAGTAAAGTTATAATACTTTTCTGCATCCTCTGGAAGAGGTCTCCTTTGCCATGCAACCTATTAAAAAAAATACATGTGACATTATAACTAATTATAATATTCACAAAACCAATGCACTTAAACAATGAAAATATATTTACAAACCTAGTGATAATAGCTTATTGAACTTTTAGTATTTATATTTTAGAAACTACAATTACATTGAAAGTTGAAACCAACTATCTCTTGTTTGTTGCACTTTAACAAAGTTATTTGATGACGAAACACAAAATTTGCCATTGAGATATATAGTACTGCTAAATAATGTTAAAAATAAAATTCTAAAGTAGTGCCCTTAACACAAAAACCAAAATTTATACAAATTTAAAGAATATGTAATATAATAAATAATGTTAAGTTTATTTAGAAACATCCATTTAAAAATATCTCAAATATTATATCAAATACCTTATAAGTTCCAGTTTTATATACAGGATTTTCAGCCGAACCAGAAGTTGATATCACTTTTGCAATTTCAATTTTGCAGTCCCATGTTCCATTGACAACCCAGCTAACCTGAAATTGATAGAATAATTCATAAAATTTATATAACAATCACTATTGTTTGTATTTATAGTACTTAAATAAAATGTTGGTATATAATTCCAAAATAGAAAAACATTTCTATGATGGAAGTTTATTTGACTAAACAAACTATACTCACTTGTCCAGAATTGTCAACAACAACACCTTTAACTTTTCGTTGTGTGTCTCTTGTGAAATATGAATATGGAATATATTTTAAATGGCATGTAACACCACTGGCATTATTCTGACCAACTATTTCCATATCACCATGCTGATCTACCCACAACTTGCCTACTATTATATTGTGTACCGTTGTTGTTACCTGCAAATAAAATAAACATAATTTAATATTAAGATATTATAGAACATGATATACTTCTTGAATTCATGATGATGATTATTATCATTTTTTTTTATTACATAGCAATTTTTACACCTGACCTTAAATAGATAAGTAACTGTAGGATTTAAAAAAAAAAATGACTTCAAATATACAAAATCTTCTGACCATTGCCAAAGATTTTGAAAATTAACATATTATGATTATTTAGTGATTATTATTAACTGACCTTCCTCCATGAATATCTATTTCCATTATCAAATTCAACATGTGCAGTTCCTAATGGAATAACTTGCAAATATTTGCCTCTAAACTTTGACGTCATTGTAAATTCTTGCCAGCATTTCCAGCCTTTTCCTTCACAAAATTGTGCTACCATTGGAGGGTGGTGTGACACCTAAAACCAAGTAATAAGAGCATAAAATAAACATGTTGCCTCATTAAAAATAATATGTTTTACCTGTTCAGAAATAGCTCTCCATCCCAAATCCATAGTCCTATCACATTCATAAGTCTCGCCAAGTAATGGATTAAATGGCTTTGCTGTTCTATCACTAGTCGTAGCATATGAAGAAACCGTAAATGCAGCTACATAAGCTAACTGTTCACTCATGTCCGAACATCGGGCAGCCTGATCTAATATATCAGCATATTCATAATCTTCTGTGAGACGCTGAAGCATGGATAGAGGCTCAGAGAAATTTACAGGCATAGGTATTTTGGACAGTTCTTTTCCTAAAGAATTAATAAACAATTTTAACAATATATCCATGATGTATAAGAATTATCTATTACTGATAATATTTTACTTACCAATACAATTTTTCATGATAGACCATAGATTTAAAGGATAGTTAGGTTTATCTGGTACTCTTGTCCTCCTTTGTCGAGCACCACCAATTAAAGCATTTGACACTGGTACCACAGAGTTATTCATTTTTTGTTCAGTTCCAGAAGCCAACTGATCGGAAGTCTCACTAGCTACTACTAAGACCTAAAAGAAAGTTTATTTAGTATCACATCTGGCTAGAATAATTTATCTAATTACATTTGGATACTGGCAACAGTCTAATTCTTTTAATTTTATACAAAAAATAAAAAAATCTTACATTTTTTATTTGTAATGGTTTGCTTATTTCTTTTATATTAAATTAAATAAAAAATCAATTATTGTGAAATTAGCTGATAGTATAGTATAGTAAAACAATACTTAAAATAATTTGTTGAATAAAAATTGAAATATAAATATTGATAATAGAGTTAAGCAATGTAATGAAAATACATAAATAATCAAAATGACTTCTTTATTATACAAGGACTCAAGGACTCAGGTTGCTCAAATCGTACACCAGATAATCTGATGTCTGATAATTAAAATTATATCATCAGGTGCCGTTAAATAGAACTATTTATTTGAGCAAGCAAACAGTTGGAAGACTGGCCGACTTTATGAAATAGAAACTATCAAAAAGTAATCGTTTCGTAAAGTTCCTATTATTATTTTTGACTTCGTTGTTCATTTATGGCATTTTTTCTTATTTACTAAAGTTTATTTATATTACTTATTTGGCAATTGTTAATCATAAACCAACTAAATAAATATTCAGTAAATGCAAATTATTTTGTTTTGTTCATATAGCACTAAATATTACAGAATTATTTCTTAGGATTAACACGACTTAAACAATAAAAAAATCAAATAGAGATATAAAAAATAATTTTTTGCAGTGGAAAATTAGCAATATGAAATTAAAGTTGACATTAATTAATATTTAATTAATGTATAAAAAAAATTAACTCTTATGAAATTATAAAAATAGATTTTTAATGAAATCGAATTACTTTTCTTTGGTGATATCTTTACCAAGATTTTTTTTTAATTCCTATATAATTACTATCTGCCTGGAAAGACATTCAGTAATTTTGGTGACTAATGTGTATAGATAATATTCTAAAATGCTACCCAGTGGTAGAAAAAATTATAAATCCAAATTACATGTTGACTATACTAAATCTAATGTGTTTACCAAGATTAGATTTAATTTAGTTAATCTTAAACATTTGTATGAAAATACCTACAACATAACGATATGTATTAATATCAATTTGAAAGATATACATAACTAATAACATATAATCTTTGAGGGTAAAATGAAAGGAATGAAAGGAATGGGAAGAAGAAGAATGCAGACAATTGACGACTTATGCGAAAAGAGAAAATACAAGAAACTGAAAGCCGGAGGGCAGGATTATCAGGAAGAATGAAAGCAGAAGTTCGGAAAGAAAAAATAGTGGTAATGCGAATGATAGACAAAGGGTAAGGGAATCATTTATTTGTGGAGGCTCTCACACCATGGACCTGCCTTCGGGCAGACTACAATTTATATATTATATTATAATCTTTGAACAATGTATAAAATTTGATTTAAAATAAAAACCTTTATGCACTAAACAAAAAAAAAAATGAGTTTTTTACCTGTTTACTTTCGCTCTTATCCTCCTGGTCGGAACCACTGGACCCTTCCGAATTCCTCCTCTGCTGCAGCGGTATCTTGAGTATGAAGGAAGAGTCCTCCTTGTTGGAAGTCACGACACCAGTACCGGAATTTGGAGGCGCGTTTCCACCAGACAGATTCGTGTTAGAGCTAATGATCGCACCAGTCGGCGTGTAGCCTTCTTGAGCATCGTAGAATTCGTGCTCATCTTCATCGTCCTCGTCCGTATTGGACGTATTCGCATTTCCGTCTGGGAAAGGAAAATTACCTGGTCAATGAATAATTAAATACATACATATTCGGTAAGTAAACTTTGTAATAAATCTTTATTGCGCAAAGGTTCAAAGAACCCACAAAGCAAAATCCAAGCAAAATATTCTGTTCGTAAACATGTTTGTGTTTCAAATAGAAGCCAATTCAGTACCAGTAAATATAATTAAATACAAAACAGTAAACATAAATAATATTTCACACATATCTGAGCACGTTCATATGCTTTAACATCCCAAGATTAGTCATATCCTTTATAAACTGGATATTTTATTAATCTAATTAAACATTTAAAAAAAATGTCCTATACATTGGGTGTCGAATTAACAAGTATTGAAATGATTATCCATACGGTGATAAAAATTGGAAAATATATGCAGTATAAACATTTGTATAATAATAAAATATAAATGATATAAATATAAAATAATAAAAATAATTAAAGCTCAAATGGAAAATACCAAAAAGTTTTTGTTGTGAACATGAATTGGAATATTGTGAACATGAAATACAGTATTTTAATTTTTCAATATAACATTAAATGTTAATATTTGCATTTATATATTCTGCTCTCTAAATGTATTACTTATAAATTAATTAAGTATTATATTTATATTATTAACATATAAAATATACCAATGGTCCATAAATGTATTAAAAATCCAGCTAGGCATATGAAAAATACTGTAACAAATGAATAATTTAATTATTAATTATTTTAATAACTTAAAAAATCATCAACATACATACATACAAATAAAAATGTAAAACATCTCCAATTAAAAAAATAATTTATTGAAAAAATTTAAAAAATAAATTTATTGAAAGTAAAACAAATACAATTTGACATAAATGACAGTTGAAACTCAAATCACATTAATGACATTGTAAAGTCAATTTATTATTATTATTTTTTTGATTTTTTTTATTTGTAAACGTTTGAAATTGGTGAAAATATATGGAAAAGAATTATTTATGATAAATATAAATTGGTCTGTATTTTAGTACATAATTTTACAAGAAATAAAATTTTCAGTTGCCTCAAATTTTGAATATAAGAACTAAAGGTAAAATTATTTATATAGGTTAACAATATTAAGATTTTGCACTTGAATCTAACTAAAAATATTCATCAATATATAAAAATGTATAGTTACTCTGTTACGTTGTAAATACTCCATAATACTAATTATTTCCAACGGTTTCAAGAATTATTCGTTTATTATTTATAAAACAACAACGATCTATAATTGTAGGTTAAACTGCTAAATAAATAAAATGCCTATGCAGCTAATATTTCCTAGACACGACAAGGAAACATATGTCAACACAATTAAAAAAGTATTGACAAACTTCTGAATTATAAACACCGTTTATTAAAATAAATTTATGAGATATATTCGCGTTTGATGATTCATCCGAAAGAATTGTCATTTAACCATCTCCATATTGATACAACCTGTACTTTTGCAACAAAAATTTTGAGGTTATGGCATTTTGTGCAAAATATTTTACGAATATATACAGTACTTACTTGTACATTATTTACAATTAAAACAAATATAAAACTCGATAAAATAATTATTACAACAAACTATTCATTTTCACACATTTATTAAACTCGATATAAAACCATTCGCGCACTTTTATAGCATTAGGGTGTATATAGTTAAAATGGAAGATTTGTTAATAAAAGTAATCCGATGTAAAAATGCTACGAGATAAAATAAATTAATTTTAAAAGATGTTCTTGAACTGTTAATCGCTACTAAATAATTTGTAATAAATAAAAATCTAGAATTTTAACTAAAAGTGACAGCACGATCATTCTGACGTAACGTAAATGTCAGAATTAAACGTGTGGCACGCGTGCCAACGTTTTGCACCGCACTTCATTTGATAACAGAAGAGTAAGCAAATATAAACAGAGCTGCCCAACCTTGAATACCTCAGCAGAAAAAAATAACGTCAAATGCCAATTCAAATAATAAATACGTATAAAATTCAATCATTACGTATAGTATTAAATACGTATGCTTAGCTTTATTTATTAAAATAGAAGATTATCAGATATGTGATATGCGGTATTTATTAAACACTTATCTACATGAGATGTGTTTAGTTTAATGTTTTTAGTTTATCTACTTTATTGTTTTTCTAGTATTATTTTTATTATTTACAAATTTTATTTATTAATTTTATTATTATCATTATTTGCTTTTATTTTATATTAAATCATCATACAGATATCATTTTAATGAAAATTCTATCCTTCATTTGATACTCTAATTTAGTTATATTTATGTTATTATTCACTTATGTTACTAGATGTTATATTATTTAGCAGATGTAACAGATATTGTAATTAAAAAACAGATGTGTTTAGTTGAGGTGACCATATTTTTTAAATTCAAAACCGGGACTGCGACTTTCAGATTCGAGGAGGAGAGGGGGGGGGGGTTAAACTTTATAATAACAAATGCTATTTAAGGATACAATAAAAACTTTTTTTTTCATATAAATAATTTCTTTTTTAAATCAGAATTCCGGAATTTTAGTAAGAACTTTAATATTCGATTATATGTAACACTTTTTTATCTATGATATTATGTATATTATATTTTATATTTTTCAATCTATGTGTTTTTTTCGCTTTGGGGGCGTCCATTAATCACGTGATCAACATTTTAAGGATTTTTGGGCACCCCCCTCCTCCTTTGTCATACGTGGTGTTATTCAAAATTACACCTACCAAACCTCACGTGTATTTTTATTTACAAAAAAAATGGTAAAATTTTAAAAATATTTTTGATTATGTTTTTGAATTCAGGTAAAAAATAAATACATACGATATCTTATACTATACCCCCCCTCCTCCCCCTAAAAATCTCACGTAATTAATGGATGCCCCCTTTTATACTTTATATAAAATTCTATTTAATTTTCTTCGTAATTAATTTGTATAAATTAACACTTATTATCATTTCTGATAATATATCTATTGATTTTCGGAAAAACGGGGCAATCCGGAACAAAAGATCTAAATCCGGTACAAATATTGCTTTTAGAAACATCCGGAACACAAGGTGAAATCAGGGACTGTCCCGGCCAAACCGTATGGACCTATGGTCACCTTAGTTTAGTTTATACACAATTTCAAAATTATATCTTCCAAAAATGAAATGAAAGAGTTCTGAGCATCAATTATTCAAATTACAAAATTTATACCAATTATATAGTGCTTAAAAACAATTATAGTTATTTCAATAATAGGGTTCTATTACATTTGCCAAGATTAAAAAAGCTTTTTTAAGAAAAAAATGTTTAGACATTTTTTTTATTTATTTAAAACAATTCGACATCGCAAAGGTTATTGATAAAATATTTTAATTAAAAGTTAATTCTATTATTAATTCTTGACCTTTAAAATATATGTACATGCTGTTAAATAGAAATAAATATTGTTATAAATAAAAAAATTATAAATGTTAGTTACAATTAAAAATCTTACGATTCAAAATAAGATGTTAATCGCCGTTAAAATACAGCTAATTTTCTCACAAATAAAAAAATGAAATAAATAAATAAATATAACATTTAAGTAGACATAAGTATTTACTAAAAGTATTAAGTTTATTTGCGACAATCGTTGCTAAGTTTTTCGTTGTAAACAATTGTAAAAATTTCAACAATGTCACCGAAAAAGGAAGAGGTTATGTCTTAACAAGATGATTCTAAGAAAGAGATATTCCACATTTAATACTTTTGTTTGTATAATTAAAATTTAAATTAAAATAAAAAATTATAAATAAATAAACTGGTATCAAAGTACATTTTATTCATTCAGAGATGAACGTATGACTGACCTGACCATGATACATGACGCATTTGTCTATATATTTCAACGATGATCAATTTAAATTACTATCAATTGTCGAAAATGAGTTATAGACTTTGTTGCAACACATTCACGACAAATTTTAAAAAACGAATTATAATATTACTAGAATTATATAATGGTACATCCCCCCGCATTTGATTTTACAAAAAATTTAGGCGTGCCACGAAATTGTAAAAATATAAAAACGTGAGAAACGTGATTCAAAATAATGAGATAAGATAGATATTAATTTGTGCAAAAGTCAAATTCGAAAATTCTTAGTCCCAAAAACAATGCAAGATTTTAATTTCTACCCAGAAGAGTAAACCTGAGGTTCTCCTTGTGAGACAAGAAACTATCTTTTATATAATTAGTTAGCTAAAAAATAATATTTTCAGCAAATTAGACACACAACACACACAAAAAATGAACAAAAAAATTAGAAACACTTTTCAAGATACTGAAACTTTTTAAAAAAAAATTAACTGTACCTCTCACAACAAGTAACTTGCATTACGATCAAAACAAATTATAAAAAATGTCTCAAAACATTCTTTACAGAGAAATCTAGAACCTATCAAGATTTTTTCTTATGAACTTATACTCGATGAGTGGGGATTGTATCAAAAAATTCTTTGTACCATTTAACTAAACATCGCAAATAAAAATAAACAATTATGGAATTTATTAATTGTTCTTCGAAACCTCTGATAAGAAGCATTTCGCTTAATAAAAAAATCGGATGATAAGCTAAATACATTTTTAAAAACGTCATGATAAATAAACTAAGCTCGTTGAGCGAGGTTACCAGAAAAATTATTTTTGGAATACTAAAAATAAATCTTTAAATAAACATTTAAGCATTTTATTATTTTTCTTGAAGTGGAAACTCTTAACAAGATTTTTTTTATAATAAGTAATTCGCACAACAAGCAAAAATATTTTGAATTTCTCGAAGGAGAAGTTTGTTTTTGCAAAAAAAAATCCGATTTCCAAATTTTATGTTTTCTCAACGTTTCAAGTCATTCTGAATCGAATGAGACCAAATTTGAAAAAATTATGTGTGTTTGAATTATGTGAGCCGATTTTTGACCTTTCATAAACGTTTTCTCAAAAACGGCTGGAACAATTTCAAAAATTTGAAAGCCATTCGATGTATCTCGATAGGAACTATCGTTGATCAGCTTTGCGCGATGTTCGGTCGAGCCGTTTCTTTCTAATCAGCAAAATAAGTGTAAATGCTTCGTCCACGTTTTAGACCTCAATTTTGAATCAATTTTAAAAATTCAAAAACTGTGCGAAGGATATTGATTAGTTTTTGGTAAGATCAGCCAGACCGTTTTTTTCGCAATTAAATTTTTTTGTGTTTTTTTTGACGATTTTGATGAAACTTTGTATAAGTATAGAGTTTAAATAACACTAAATATTACCTACGATAATAATAAAATAATATAACCTACGATAAGCGGTTGAATTATAAAAAACATCAAAGCTTATAATTTTTCCGCCAGGTAGAGCGATTTTAATCAAAAGCATACGCAAGTTTCGTAGGTAGCTACTGATTACAGTTGACGACCACACTTGAATAAATAACATTTTTAAAACGCGGAATAGATGAAAACAAAAGTGTTAAACAAATGAATTTAATTTATACAATTACAGATATTACAAGAATATCTGAAAGACGTCTATTGGAAATCGCAATGAAAAAAATAGTAA